TTTACCTGTGCTTTATTGACTACACAAAGGCTTTCAATTGTGTGGATCATGACAAGCTATGGACAACATTGTGAAGTATGAGTATTCCAGAACAGTTAATTGTACTCATGAGGAATCTGTACCTGGACCAAGAAGCAGTTATTTGAATAAACTCAATGGTTTCAAATTAAAAAAAGGTGTGCAACAAGGTTGTATTCTTTCACCATACTTATTCAACCTGTATGCTGAGCAAATAATCTGAGAAGCTGGTTTCTATGAAGCAAAACGTGGCATCAGGATTGGAGGAAGACTCGTTTACAACCTGCAATATGCAGATGTTACACCCTTGCTTGCTGAAAACCGAGAGGACGTAAAACATATACTGATGAAGATCAAAGAGCACAGCCTTCAGTATGGATTACATCTCAATATAAAGAAAACCAAAATCCTCACCACTGGAGCAATAAACATTTTTATCAAAGGAGAAAAAATTGAAATTGTCAAGGACTTCGTTCTTCTTGCATCAACTATCAACACTCAGGGAAGCAGTATTCAAGAAATCAAGTGACACATTGCATTAGGCAAATCTGCTGCACAAGACCGTTTTAAAGTGTTGAAGAGCAAAGCTGTCAGCTTGAGGACTATGGTGTGCCTGACCCAAGCCATGGTATTTTCAGTAACTTCATATGCATGTGAAAGCTGGACAGTGAATAGAAGAATTAATGCTTTTGAGTTTTGGTGTTGGAGGAGAATATTGAAATTGCCACTGGCTGCCAAAAGAAAAAGCAGATCCGTTTTGGAAGAATGTGCAGATAGAGTGCTCCTTGGAGGCCAAGATGGCCAAATTTCGTCTCTCATATGTCGGACATATTGTCAGGAGGGACCAGTTGCTATAGAAAAAGAGGAAGACCCCCACCCCCACCCCCAAACGAGATGGATTGGCCAAGTGGCAGCATCAATGGACTCAAGCGTGGCAACAGTAGTGAGGTTGGCCCAGAATCTGGCAGTATTTTGTTCTGCTGTGCGTAAGGTCGCTATGGGTCAGTACCGACTAGATGGCACCTAACAACAAAAACAAATATTTTATTAAATTTCCTCCTTTCAAAAACAGTTGTAGGTATTTGTTCTAATCTATGTGGATCTATTATCTCAGGTCCATTCATTGTATCTGATATTTGTCGAGTTCAATGTCTGTTGGCAAACAGCCTAAAGAGGTCAAGCTGCCTTGGCCCACATTTCTCTTATAGTATGCAGGATCCTTGCAGTCATAAACCAGTGGGCTAGTTTGTATCTCAATTGAAGATATTAACCAAAGATAGTCCCAATAACCCAATATAGGCTCTGACCAAACCATCAGGCAAGACCAGATATTGATACGTTTCTGATAGTCTTTCTTTGCCTCCATTTTCAGCAGTCAATCTAAAGGCCTTAAAAAAAAAAAAAAAAAAACTAGAGCACTGAGACATTTTATTTTACCATGTGTTTTCCTTTGGACAAAAGACAAGGAAATCTAGAACTTAACAAATTTCAAATGTAGCAAATTGAAAGAAATGAATTTTAGCAACAAAAATTAAAAAAAAAAGTTGTACTCTTCAGTCAATATATTTCTAAAGGCATCAGCTTTCCATTTTGTAAATTTATAAAAATAACTCACTCAATTTCCTCTTTTCCTACAAACAGTAGTATTGTCAAGGTTACAAAGGGGAAATAACTTTTAAATACAAAAGTATAGCCTAACAATAGACTACAGTGGACTGATAATAAGAAAATAAGCTACTTTTCTTATATCAAATATCCTAAAATACGTTATCTATATAATACTTTCTGTTTCAGGCTACCTGCAAACGAGATCACAGACTTGAAATGTTGAAAACACGTCGCGGCTATCTGGAAAAGAAAAGGGAGGAGGAATTGAAGCAATTTGATGAAAATACTAATTGGCTCCATCGTGTCAAAAATGAAATAAGCCTCTTAGGTCAAAATGGTGATATTCCAAAGGTACAGATCTGTTTGTACATTTGGATCATTTTACGAGAACTGAGCTCTGTAACTGTATGGTCTTTATTGTTGAGCAAATATCCTTTATAAGATAATTACTACTCCATCTTTGTTAGTTTTAATGTACTCATTTGACTTTTTATAGCCGAATATACCTTCTGCTTCATAAAACTTGTGTGTGAGATTAATGATATAGTATGATAATTTCTGCATTCCATTGGGTCACCTCTCTAGGGAATGTGGACAAATAAACATCTCTTCCAATCATTTGGCCAGGTGGCTATCTTCCAAATTTCTTGTCATAGATGAGTGAGTGTCTCCATTGCTCTATCTATTTGTTGAAAGATTTCAGTTTGTATTCCATCATTTCCTGGAGCCTTGTCCATTGCTAATACCTTCAGTGTACCTTAGAAGTCTGTCTTCAGTATCATTGATTCTTTTTTTTTAAAATCAAATTCACTTTTATGTTTATACCCAGCATAAATGGCTATATAAATTTGTTTTGTACAAGAATGTTCAGGACATTATTTAGTATCTTTTTTTTTTCCCCCTTTTAGGGTGGGTTCTTTTTCTTTATCTTTAACAATAATGGTTCTATGCAATATTTCTCCTTTTGTGACTGACTGACTAATTTCACTCAGCGTAATGTCCTCAGGGTTTATCCATGTTAATGTGGCTTGCAGCTTCCTTGTTCTTCAAGGTAGCATAGCATAGTATTCCATTGTGTCTGTACCACAGTTTGTTTATCCATTCTTCAGTTGATGGGCATTCAGTCTCTTTCCATCTTTTTGCTATTGTAAATAGTGCTGCTATGAACATTGGTGTGCATATATCTACTCATGTTATGGCTCGTATTTCTTGTGGGTAAATACCAAGTAGAGGAATTGCTGGATCTTAGGT